ATATATTTTTAAGTCATCCATGTATAGTAGATGGTTTATCTTGCCATGTTGGCTCGAGATTTGGTATCCCAGTTTTGTGTCTCGTAGGATCATTGTCAGTGGAATTAATGCGATGTTGAACAGTAGTGGTGAAAGTGAATCCCCTTGGAAGATTCCTCGTCTGATGTTGACTTCACCAACGTCCTCCCCATTTGCTGTTAGAACTGTTTTCCATTTTTGCATATTTGCTTTCAGAAATGTACAGATATTTTTGCTGATTCCAAAGTTTTCCAGACAGGTGTTAATCCAGCTGTGGGGTAATAAGTCAAATGCCTTCTTGTAATCAATCCACACCATATTTAAATTTGTTTTAAACAGCCTCGGAGAAGAGCTGGGTCTTCAGACTCCTTTGAAACAATAAAATTGGAAACCCAGCATAGGCATTCTGACTGGGAAACAAGGAAACAGAATGCTACATTTGACAGAATTATCTAGTGACAGATCTCTAAATCTCTTCGTTCTGTTTTCTCTTTTCAGTGGCAAAAGAACTCAGGTAGAAACAAAACATCTGTCAACTTGCTTTGATCAGTTGACTCTAAGATAACAAATTTAGGTGCTTAACCTGAACAACCTGAACATTCCAGCTTGAAATGTCCATTGTACGCAATATATCATTTCTCCAGTGGCTATTTTTTCTTGGCATTCTTCTTAAGACAAGCAATTGCTGGAGAAGCATTATTTTGATTGTGATCTTGCGATGTCACAACTTGCCAGTCCTGAGGAGGCAGAGAAATGCCTCCTTCTCCCCTCCCACAAACACAGAGCAGAAGTTGTGAAGAAACCCACATATGAGTGTGGCTGATTCTCTCTGCCTCCTGAGTACAACCGCACAACCGCTGGTTTTTGCTGCTGCTGCTATCTCCCTCGCCATCTCTTCTCCTTGCAGGCAGGGAAGTCACCACAGATCGAGCTTTCATAATCACCTTCAGTAAAAGCCATTCTTCACACGGTTGAAAAATCACAGCCAGGCTGAACGAAATCCCAGCCTTGTCAAAGTCTGGATCACAGTGCTTGCCCCAGTCACATAGTCATGTGGGAATAAGCTTTTTTGGGATTAGAATCTACTTTGGCATGCGCTGTGATGAAGAAACAGGTATGCATCTTCAAGCAGATAGAGGAGAAAAAGTTCAGAGGGGATCTATTTCTTGCTTTCTTGCCTGTCCGTGGTATCCTCAAAAGCCTTCTCCAGTAATGAACTTCAGACACGTTGACGCTCTTTCTATCTTGTTTCTTCAGAGTCACAGAGCAGATCTGGAATTCGTGCAATTTGAGGAAATTGTATTTGGAGACCACAAGAAATTACCTTCACTCTCTTAAGCTAGTGGGCCTTAACCTTTTGGGCACCAGGGACCGGTTCTATGGAGAAAGGTTTTTCTGCAGACCAGAAGGGGTGTGGTTTCACATGCCGCCTAATTCCCAATTTCTAATTTTAATAGATTTGTATGCCGCCCAATCCCGAAGGACTCTGGGCGGCTTACATAAAAACAGTTTAAAAGTATTTTTTAAAAAAAATTAAAATACAAGGCAGAAACGAGTTAAAAGAAGGACACAACATGCACTCAATCTTAATGGGGCTGAAGGTCAACCTAGATCAGCAGCCCCGGGCCTGCCGAAACAGCCAGGTCTTAACAGACCTACGGAAGGCCGAGAGAGTNGCATTCTGGACCAACTGTAGTCTTCGAACACTCTTCAGGGGCAGCCCCATGTAGAGCGCATTACAGTAATCCAGTCTTGAGGTGACGAGGGCATGCGTGACGAGCAGAGTTAAGTTCAAAGTCAAATTTGAAAAGACACCCGATGGAGGAAGTTTGGATGAATGGAAGGTTAGCTACTTTCTTTTTAAAGAGATGTTTGAAAGAGGAAAGGAAATTCTGCTTTGGAAAATGGATCCTTCAATTGGATAAATTGAAAAAGGTGATTTTTGTCTTGGGTGTTTCTTTTGAACGCCTATTTTTATTCTCGTCTCTTCTGGCTGCCAGAAGTTTCAAGAGCTTCTGGTGGTTTTAAGAAGGGTAGGAAAACGAAAACATCTCAAATACATGAACAAACCTTAATGAACTGGGCATAGGATTCTTCCCCAGGCACGGGGGGGTTCACCACGATATCCATAGCGGCTTGACCCGAGACGGGGGGACACAGACGGACAGAGAGGAGCTTAACTAGCTGCCCTTTAATTTCTGGATGCAGGTTTATCACTTCCATGTAGCCTCCTCGGTAGCCACATCTGAAAACCAGGCAGAAGCCGCAGGAACAGAAAAGAGAAGAAAAGAGGGGGAAACGTGACGGTGAGAAAAACTAGCATGAAATTCTCACAGTGGCAGAAAGGCAGTCTGTAAAATCAACAACTAATGCAGGATCCTATTTTAATCTTCCGAGAAAGGAATGGCAGCTGCTTGGTCGATTAGGCTGGCATATAAGCCAGCGTTATGCATTGCGGCAGAGATAAAGTGGTAAAGAATGAATATGGACATAAATTTTCTTTTCCCCCCCTTTATCATTAAGGTTTAAGTTATTTAAACCATCAGAGTATTAATAATCTCCAATCAACACCATATAAGCAGTGGTGGGATTCAGCCAATTCCCACCACTTCGGGAGAACCGGTTGTTAACTTTCTGAGCAGTTTGGTGAACTGGTTGTGGGAAGAAATCTTTACGGCAGAGAACCAGTTGTTAAATTATTTGAATCCCACCACTGCATATAAGTACTATTTGTTGTGGCCTGCCAGCAGAGCTGGCAGCAGATTCAGACATTGAGGAGGTTGGAGAGGAACATGGGCCAGTCCTGGAATTTGGGGGAGGCTCCGATGAGGGCTCTGTGTTGGAGGCAGAGAGGGGGCCAGGGCCGTCTG